AAGAGTAAGGATAAAAATATTATTATACTATTTTTAATTACTCACTGTAATTAAAATACTATTATTTTTTAAACACTGCGTCAAAAGTAAACGTAAACTATGTAAATGGAGGGAGGGAGTATAATATAATATGCGTGTCTGGATATGCATGTGTACACATCAATTCATTCGCAGCTATGTATTTAATGCTTTGTACTAATTTTTTAAGGCTGTATTTGGTCACTTCCTAAGTTTGTTAATTTTGGTCAAGAAAATGCACCACATGATTCTTGCTTCATCAATCATTTTATTCCAAATATACAACTCATTGCAAACTTTAATTTTCTTAGGTTAAATAAAAATTTCTCACTTTTTTCAGTCAATATAATTTTCAATAAAAATATCATAAGATCAAAATACCTTTTTTTTTTTTTTTTTTTTCTTTGGGGAATTTTGTTTATTTGTTTGGTCGGTACAAGAATTTATGTTAAGTACAATAAATAAGTAATTAAAAAATTATATTAGTAAACATTATTATTATTATTATATAGTAAATTAATAATTTAATTAATATTAAGAAAATTATAATTATAAAATTTAAAATATAATTAAAGCTTATAATTATATTTTTTTTAAAAAAATAACAAATTACGTGAAATTATAAAAAAAAAGGACATTTGATAAGAGACGGAAAAAGCAATAATATTTAAATATAAAAATTGGATAGATAAAAAGCTAAATGATGTATTATGAGAATTTATAATTATTTTCTTTCACGAAATCTTATGTCAAAGTACTATTTAAATAAAAATTCAAATTAATATTTTATTTCAAATTAATTATAAATCACAACAAAACAAACACTTAGGAATTATTTGAGTTGCATTAACTCTGTAATGAAGTTAATAAAAACAAAAAAAAAAAAACACCATTTGGAATATATATATATAATTTTGTAACTTCCTAAAACCTAATAAATAATAAAAAACGCACTATGAAGAATATATATATATATATAAAATTTTGCATAAAAAAATAACAAAATATTATTATATATAGAACATATCAGATATATATATATAATCCAAACAGTAAACATTTATACTGCCATAAATACATTTTATCATACATCAAGCATATTTTATTATACATCAGACATATTTTAAAATTAACATATTATTACGTTTAAAATAGCATATTAATATTTTAGCATATATTTACATTACAGATAGCAAATGGTTACACTATAACAAACATATTTCATTACACAACAAACATGTTGCAAAATTAACATATTATTATATTTAAAATAATACATTATTACTTTAAAGCAGATTTATATTATAGATAGCAAACAATTACGCTGTAACAAACACATTTCACCACACAACAAACATACTGTAAAATTAACTATAAGTACAAGAATTTAAGTAAAATATAATTAGTAAGTAATTTTAAAAAATATATTAGTAAAAATAACTGTTGTATAATAAAAATAATTATATATTTAATTTAAGATAACTAAATAGTTTAATTAAGATTTAAAAAATTTAAAATTTAAAATGTGATTAAAGTGATAATTGTCATAGTTAAAAAAAAAAAAATAATAACAAATTATATGTGACGGATCATAACAGAAAAAGTGAACATCTTAAGTGGAACGAAGACGATACAAAATTACAAATACACCTTTAGTAATAATCTCAACTATTGACTTAATTATTAATTCAACGGATTAGGACTAATCAATATTGTGCTGATTAGGTCTATTCAAACTAACCGAAATGTAATACTCTATCCGGTCGATAACAATTTATCAATTTTTTTATTTTGGTCTGTCTTATAACAAAGTATCCATTTTATTTTTTAATAATTGTATTATCTACCTAACATTACAAATATCCTTCCAATTTACAATATATTATACAAATATCATTATCATTATATCATACAATATTAATAGGATTAATTTAGTCTTTTTATTATTATTTTTACCTTATCCCAATATAATACTAATAATTTCTAAAACTTCGTGTAAAAAACAAATAAATACTCCATCCGTCCCGGAACTGAATATCCATTTTCTTTTTGCACGTAGTTTTAGAAATATTAATTTTATATTGGGATATAGTAGAAATAAAGTAGAAATGACTAAAATAACCTTATTAGTATGTGTGATATAAATGTAACGATATTTGTGTAATATATTTTAAGTTGTAAAGATATTTGTAATATTAAATAGATAGTACAGTTATTAAAAAAAAAATGAATACTTTGTTATGGAACGGACTAAAATGAAAAAATAAGGAAGTATATAAATATGGAATGGAGGAAGCATATACAAGATGAATCCAACTTTTAATGTTGAACTTAATTGCAGAGGGTGGGCCAACCCACCCATATTTTATTTTATTATTTTATTTATTTCAAATATATATATATATGTAAATAATATATAAAAAATAATAATAAAAACATCTACCGTTGATTTGTTATATTTTAATAAAAAGTTATACTTATTTAAAAATAAATATATAAATAATTATAATATGTTGAAATGTACTTGAATTTAGCAGTCTAGGGTTCTTTTTGGGCTTATCCTAATTAATAATAAATAGGCTTAGGGTTTAGGGTGTTTTGAGGTGCTTATAAATAGACAACTATGGTTCTTAGTCGGATAATATATTGTAAATCTCTGAATCAGTATAATAAAATCTCTCCGATTCATGCCCATGGACGTAGGTTGACGCACCGTCACCGAACCACGTAAAACCTCTATTCTTTATTTGTTTTCTTTCTCGTTTTTTCATACCATAATATATATATAGTCACAATAGTCATAATTGATGCTAATTTAATTTATTATTTTTAATAAAATAAAAATAATGTATACTCTTATTTTATAAATAAAATTTTATTTTTTGATTTACAAAATTTGCCCCCTCTCGAAGTATTCTCGTTCCCTCCTACGTGTGTGTATATATATAATTGGAAGGATTGCTTGAATGAATGATTGGAGTTGCATTAGCTCTGTGATTTATATATTTATTTATGGTATATTTTTTTTACATTAAATAAATAATAGAGTCTAATTGTGTTTGTTTGGGGGGTTTAGATTTTGAGTTGGAATATGAACAGTAAAAATTTTAAATTTAATAGTTGTATGATGTAATATAAATAGGTGTTGATGTGATGTTTTGAATGTAAAATTAATTTTTAGTATAATATAAAAAATAAAAAATAAGTGTTTAATTTGATATTTTTGGGGAAAAAATTGGATGAATAATGTAAATCCAATCCAATCCCCAAACAAACACACCCTTAATTATTATGATTACTATAATATTTTATTATGCAATTTGTAGGCTTCAAATAACTGGCAAAGTTTGACTTCACACGCGCTGCAGAAGACGATTTGGACACGATTTGGACACTCAGCGCCAGCAATTCAAACAAATACTCTCCGGTAACTAGAGATGTTAAATGAACTTAGCGATTCGTGAATTCGCCTATGATCGGCTCGATTAAAACTCGTTCGCGAATGTTAATGAGTCGAGTCGAATAACATAAACAGACTCGTTTGATTAACGAACGAGTCCGAGCTTTGTTCGCGAACGTTCGTTTAAATAATATATTTATTATAAATATTATATCTATATAAAATTATACTTGATAAATAAATAAAATATTAATTTAAAATATATAAATAAAATAATTTTAATTTTAATTTTTATAATTTATATAAAAATTAAAAAAAAAAAAAGACAAACGAGCTTAATCGAGCATAACCGAGCCGAATACGAACACGAACACGAACTCAAACAACAAAAATTCTTAACGAGTCGAACTCGAACACTACGAACGAGCTCAAAAATTTAACGAACGAACACGAGCTTTGTTCGCGAACGTTAATGAACACTTAAAATTTGGCTCGGCTCGGATTGTTTATAGCTCTACCGATAATAGTATCAGCTTTTTAATAAATTACGTCGCCTTTTCGTCAATTTTATTCTCACTGTTTTTATAACTTTTTTAATAAAATATTCTATTCGTCCTGTAAAATGGTTATTGTTTACCTTTTGCATATAGATTTTTTAATATCAGTATTATATTGTTGGTACTAAAAAAATGTAAAAGTACTTTTATAAGTTTTGTGTAATATAAAAATAATGACATTTATGTAATATAGTGTAAATTAAAAAAATATTTATTATGTTAGATAATTAGTGCAATTATTAAATTATGAAATAATAACTTTATTTTGAGACGAATAAAAATAAAAAATGACACTCTTTCGATAGAATGGAGAGAGTATTTATTTTTCTTGAATTCTGGAAATAGTATTTTATAAATAATTTTATTTAAATTACTTTAATAAAATATTTTAACAAAAAAATAATATATTAAATTGGACATATAAAAAAAACAAAATAATTACATATGATTCAAACAAAAAAATATATTTATATCATTAAAAAAGAATCCCTTTAAAAATGATATAATTTTTATTTTAACATGTGACATAAAAAAATGGAATCTTTCTCTAAATATATTTAACAATAATATAAATTAAATTTATATCATATATATATAGATCAACTCAAATTCATTTATATCTATTTCACTTCTATATAAAATATTATTATCTATAAAATATATGTACACTAAATATTTTATTCGTCCCACAATTTTCAGATAGAATATCACAAGCTCAATCCCTATGTCACCAGACCATCTCTTACAGAATAAAAAAAATAAAAAATAAAAAATAAAATAAAAAATACTACTGTTGGACGGAGGGAGTATAAACATAGTTCCATTAAAGATTTTATTTTTAATCAAAAGTAAGTATTAATATTATATTTTAAAAACTTAAATAATTGTAGTAGAAATACCGTGTAAACAAAACGCTGGAAAGTTCTTCCTTCCTTGTCCCATTTTTTAAATTATTAATTTTTAATATCATTTTGATTATATTAATACTGTCTGCATCCATCCATCATCTCCTTTTTTTAGTATAAAGATAGCCCACAGCCATTGCCCAAATCGTCTTCCTCTTCTTCTTCTTCTTCCTTCCTTCCGATTTCTCAATCCAAATCTCCCCAGTCTGTTCCGTCGGAGCTCAGACGGCGGCGGCGGCCATGGACAACGACAGCAAGCTTAAACAGCCATTTCTGGTGAACGAAGAAGACGACGACGACGACAACGAAGACGAAGGCCAGGATCTGGTCCCGGACCTCCTGGCCCCGCTCTACTCGTTCCAGAAACTCTCCAACTTCTCCTTCTTCTCCTCGTTCGTCGCCGACGAAGACGACATTCCTCCGATCGAATCCTTCCGCGGGTTCCTCACCGCCTTCCGCGACGAATCCGGGAAGCTCTGGTTCCTCGCCGGCCCGGCCATGTTCACCTCCGTCTGCCAGTACTCCCTCGGCGCCTTCACCCAGACCTTCGCCGGTCACGTCGGAACACTAGAACTCGCCGCCTTCTCCATCGAGAACTCCGTCATCGCCGGCCTCTCCCTCGGCGTTCTGGTACAAAACTCAATTCAATTACTAATTTTTTTTTTTTAAATGACACAAAATTTACTTACGATTTCACAAAATTGCACCAAATTTAGGTTTTATAAATTTTGCCTCTAATCCTTAGCCATTCTTATTTAGGTGAATTTGATGTAATTGTGTTCAAAATGCAAATAAATTTAAGAATATATTTTCAAATCTCTAAAATTACAAATATATTTATTTTTCTCATATTTAACAAAAAAATATATATATATATATAAAATAATTATCCTGCAGCTGGGAATGGGCAGCGCCGTCGAGACTCTCTGCGGGCAGGCGTTCGGCGCCGGGCAGCTGGACATGCTCGGAGTTTACCTACAGCGGTCGTGGATCATCCTCCTCGCCACGTCAGTTCTGATGACGTCACTCTACGTCTTCGCCTGGCCGTTCCTGCTGCTGATCGGCCAGACGGCGGCGATCTCACGCGCCGCCGGGAAGTTCGCCCTGTGGATGATCCCTCAGCTGTTCGCCTACGCGCTGAATTTTCCGACGATGAAGTTCCTCCAGGCGCAGAGCAAGATAATGGCGATGGCGTGGATCTCCGGCGCCGCGCTGGGGCTGCACCTCCTCTTCAGCTGGCTGCTGATGCTGAAGCTCCGGTGGGGCATGGCCGCCGGCGCCGCCGTCCTCGACGCGTCGTGGTGGTTCATCGTTATCGCACAGCTCATCTACATGTTTAGCGGCACGTGCGGGAAGGCGTGGCCGGGTTTTACTCATAAGGCATTTTCGAACCTTTGGAGTTTTGTCCGACTCTCGCTTGCTTCAGCTGTCATGATGTGGTAATCTCCTTATATATATTTTTAAAATATTAAATATTTTATTATTTTTAGAAAAATATGTCAGTTTTGTTTACATCACGCAGCATTTTCACTCTGTCATTATATATTTTTTAGAAAAATATTAAATTAAATATATTTTTCCTTTAATAAAACATTACATCAAATATAACTTTTTAATTTTTTTCAAAATTTTCAAAATTACAAAAACTTATAGTGAACAAAAGCTAGACTTTCAAAAGTTGGGGTAGATAATTAAATCAACCACATCAAGATTCAATTTTGACTCAATTTTATAATCCCCAATTTGTAATTTTGTCGTGTAGCAATCGACTTCATTTAACAAATGGAAAACTTTTTTCAATTTTTTACGTACCCTTTTTCGAGTCCATACATTCTTTATTTATCTATTTATTTATTTATTTATTTCTCAATGTGAAGCTTGGAAACTTGGTATTTCATGGCGTTGATTCTCTTTGCTGGATATTTGAAGGATGCAGAAGTTGCTGTTTCCGCCATTTCCATCTGGTAAAAAATTAAAAATAAAAAAATAAAAAATTTACTGAATTTCAAGAATCAAGACAACCTAATATTGATACAGCAGTAATTTTTGTATATTGTGACTGCAGCACAAACATACTTGGCTGGACTAACACAGTTGCCCTCGGATTCAATGCAGCCATTAGGTAAAAAAAACAAAAAGCACAACTCATAATTATTTAATTAATTAATAATGTATTTTTTTATTATTATTTTTTTTTATAAATTATAAATTTTTAAATGAGATGGTCATTTATAACTGAATTGATCGAACATTAATGTTCATCTTTGTCATTACAGCGTCCGAGTGTCGAATGAATTAGGCGCATCTCATCCGCGAACCGCGAAATTTTCCGTAGTGGTGATGGTGATCTCGGCTTTCTTTATTGGCGTCGTCGTCTCCATCTTCCTCCTCACGTTCCAAAACGAGTACCCAGACTTGTTCACCGATAGTTTAGCTGTAAAAAAAGTCATCTACGAGCTTACGCCGTTGCTCGCTTTCTCTGTAGTCGTGAACAGCATCCAACCGGCCTTATCTGGTAATCACATTAATCCTCGAATTCTTACATGCCTGACTCTGTAGGGATATGCATCATTAATTATTATATTAGATGTCAATCAATATTCTTATAAATTTAAGTTTTTAAATGAGAAAAAATGGTTAGACGGTTGATTGAGTTAAATCAGTATTATTCATGTTGATTTAACACAGTCATAATATAGTTAAGACTGGCAACATATATCTGACATTACATGATATAATTGGTAAAATTACTTATAACTCTTCTGTAATTTTGAAATTCAGCGTAAAATTTTTATGTACTTTAAAAATTGCATGACACCCTTTTATATTTTAAAAACGTTGCATAAAATCTCACCTCCATTAAATCTCTCTTGTGGGGTGAGAAGATGATATTTTGTCTCTCTCTCTCTCTCTCTATATATATATATATTTGCATGGTGGGGGTTTTCATGCAACATTTTTTAAAGTATAAAGAGACGACATGCTATTTTTAAAGTAATGTGGAGATTTACATTGAGTTTCGAAATCATAGAGGGTGTCATGCAACAATTTTTAAAGTGAAAGAAGAATTTACGTTAAGTTTTGAAACTACAAGGGAGTTATGGACAATTTTGCCCGATAAAATTTCATATAGTACAATATATTCAAATATATAAAACTGCACAACACATATTTCTATATGATACAATTAAATATTGCATGCTATATAAAAAAAATATGCACGGTCTGTCTTGATTATATGGAAAAATTAAGTCAAATTAGCATGATACTGATTTGATCCAATAAGACCTTAACTTAAAATATTTGAAGAATTAGCATTGGCAATAGTTATCCTAACACACACAATGTCTAAGCTTTATATAACTATGTTGTCCGCGCAGGCGTGGCGATCGGGGCCGGATGGCAAGCATTGATAGCCTACGTAAACATCGGGTGTTACTACGCCTTCGGCGTCCCATTGGGCCTGTTTTTGGGCTACACACTCAACATGGGCGTCAAAGTAAGCCGACAAAATCTTTCGAGTTTTTTATTACATTAATTTTATAAATAATAATAAAAAAACATCGATTAATTTTCATTACCTCATTGATATAATTTGCAGGGAATTTGGTATGGAATGGTTACGGGAACTGTTGTCCAAACTCTAATCCTCTTCTGGATTGTCTACAGAACCGATTGGAATAAAGAGGTATAAAGACATACATACATACGTATATAAATATACGTATAATCGTGTATATATATACGTATTTTGTGTTCGTAAATAATGAGGATAAATGAATTTATTTTGTTTACAGGCATCAATTGCAGTAAAAAGAATCAAATATTGGAGAGGGGAGACAGAAAATGCAAAGGCTAAGGATGTCGAGCAAACACAAAATCTCCCGACTGTCGAAGAAATTAATTGACATTATTGTTATTATTATTATTACTGTAATGAGGTTTTGATTGGTACAGTTTCCGGTGTCTGTCGGCATGAATTTTTTATTTGAAAATACCACTGTGGATTTCTGAGAAGATATGTCCGGGTTTGGATTTTGATTCGAGATTTAAATAGTAAAAATTTTGAATTTAAATAGTTGTATAATGTGACATAAATAAGTATTGATGTGATATTGTGAATGTAAAATTGATTTTTAGTATAATATAAAAAATAAAAAATAGATATTTAATTTGATATTTTTGAAAAAAATAATTTGAATGAATAATAAAAATTTAGTAAAGTTTGATAAATGAACACATCCCGATCGATTTGTGATTCCTTGATTATTATTATTAAATATTTTAATTGATGATTTATTATTAATGCTATAAAAATAAATTATGAAATTTGGAAAATTAATTGATCGAGGTTTATATACCAGTAATATAAAACAAACTCTATATATACAAATGTAAATAATCTAATATACAGATAAGACAAAATTTAAATTTAAAATTCAATATCTTAAATATCTCAACATATTTTCAAACTAAAGTATAACAAAAATTCATTTGAATTTGATAAGAAAAATAAATACATGCGCAAAAGACACAAATAAAAATACTATGTATGCCGTTGCCGTCACCGCTCCACCGTGCAAAGCTAAAAATAATGTTCTTAACTGAATTAGATTTGAAAACGACATGATTCTCACTGGAGCTAGAAACGAAAATAAAATAAAATAAAATTAGAGACCTCCGGATACATTCTAAGTTGAATATACCCGGAGAAACATGGATTGGTATATTGTATCTAGAGAAAAATAGGCTCTGATATCATATGAAAATAAATTATGAAAATTGAAAAATTGCTCGATAGACTCAAATTTAAATAGTTTAATATATGAATAAAACTAAATTTAAATCTAAATTTACTAAAGCTAAAATTAAATATATAATATATCTCAATAAATAGTACTCCCTCCGTCATCCGTCGTCCGTCTCTAAAAATCACATTTACTTTTTGTGTCATTGTATTTAACATTTAAAATATTCTTATATTTGTATAATTTTTTGTACAAATGTCCTTCTATTAGCGCTACTTGCAAAAATATTTTTATTAGTGTCTACTAATAGAAGAATATTTATACAAAAAATTATACAAATATTTTTAATATTAAATACAATGACGCAAAAGATAAATATAAAAAATATACCTCTATTCATCCTAATACAATATTTATTACACAATTATCATTATTTTTTACACAATATTCGTCGATATGATTTCAGATGGTGACAATGACAAGTGTATAAATTAATAATTCAATAAATTAATTTATACAGATAGATAGGCACAGAGACAATGACAAGTGAAATATTAAAATGATTAAAGTGAAAGATATGAGCCGTGAATCGGTCCCAAATTGCAATCGAGTTTCAACTTTATTTATTTATTTATTATTTTGTTGATAATGTTTTAACGTTTACATTGGGACAATGGTGACCTTTCGTATAAAACATGTGCCCCATAACAAAATATTTATTTTTAATTTTAGTAATCATATTATATATTTAATATTTATCTTTGTAGTGTATAATATTAATAAAGTTAGTTTAATTTTTTTTTTTTATTTATACTACGTTATAATATAATACTAATATTTTAAAATTTCGTGTAAAAAATAAACGGATAGATATATATGAGACGAAAGAAGTATTCCATATTAATTTTTTACTCCTTCCGTCCAATTTCTATTGTCCTAAAGCATATTTGCACAATTTTTTAGGTGATTGTTTTTTTTTTTTTTTGTTATGAATTGACAAATTAATCCTTAATTGTATTGTATAGATTAAAAGTAGTAAATGAATCAAGGGTAAAAAAAATAAAATTTGTGTTTAAAAAAGAAAAATAGAACAATGAACTAACACTATAAATATATGAATTGAATTGTTTGGTTGTAGTTTGAAATTAATTTAAATTGAATATTGATTTGAATTTTTGTTTGTAAAGTATTTTGATGTGTGATATTTTGTGAAAAAAAATAATAATATATTTTTATTAAATATTATACACAGTGAATAATATTATTATTTTTTATTTAAAATTACAAAATAACAATATTTAAAGATGACAATTGAGTCACATTCAGACACTACTTTTTCTATTACCACCACTTTAACTAATAATACTTAATTTATCCTCTTTTTTTTAACTTATCAAATCACTTCTTTTATCAATTCAATAATAAATTTTTTATAATATATTTATTTTATTTTTTATTTATTCTATTTTACATTAATATATTATTATTTTTATATTCAAACAAAGTGACATAATTAGTCTAGCAGTGGAAAGATGCACATATGACCTCCTAGCTTAATTTGTAGATTATTAAATTTGATCGAAAATTTATTCAAAGCTCATTTGAGAAAAAATAGATTAAAAAAAAAAAAAAAACATCAAAGTTTCAGACATTTTCCAAATTTATGTCTCATAAAGCAAGAAAAAGGCGTAGCTTCATAATAGAGATTAAGGATGATTCAAGTCCCGTTGGACCACAACCATGATAGAAAGTTTTTCACATTTCCAAATTTATTGACAATATATAAAACTTTTGAATTTGCAAGAAATCAACACTTTTAGAAATGTTGATTTACCATTTAAAATACTAAAATTATCACTTTATTATATTTTTATTTTTTTTGCTCACTACTACTGTAAAAAGAAAAATAAAAAATAATATCAAATCAATAAAAGTATACATGGTAAACTTTTGAAATTCATAGGCTTGAAATCATGTAAATGTCTACACAACCTTTTATTTTTTTTTTTATTTATTATTTTTTAATAATCGGGGACATATAGGAAATCAATGTGCAATAAATTTTAAATATTAGTTGGATATTAATCTCCATTAGAATTTTAATTTCACATAAAAATCATAGCACTCACAGGCCAACCCTAGGCATGGGCCACATGGGCCCACGTCTAACACTTCAAAATTTAGGACCATTTTTCACAAATATATATATATTAAATATTATAAATATATGTATACAATAAAAAATTATATAGTTCTTCCGTCTGTTTTTTTTTTTTTTTTTTTTTTTTTACAGAATTTGAGGAATATTATTATTATATTGAAATATAGTAAAAATAAATATAAAATAACTTTATAGGTACTATATGATATAAAGATGGTTACATTTGCATTATATATTGTAAATTGTAAGGGTATTTGTAATGTTAGGTAGATAATAAAATACTAGAAAGAGAAAATTAATACTTTGTTATGAGATAAACCAAATTATAGAAAAATAGATAAATTATTAAGGGACGGAGAGAGTATTAAAGTTTGTTGTATTTTAATAAGAATATATAATACTCCTTCCGTCCCATATCTATATATTAATTTGTTTTTTGAATAGAGTTTTAGAAATATTAGTATTTGATATGCATCGTATATAATGATATTTTATTATGTTTTGGGTGAATTTTGAGATACGAAATTTCGTATTTATGCAACTCACGGTGTGTTTTTTATTGCGTAATAGGTTTCGTGGAGTTGACATGTTTTGGGGTGTATTTGGGAGACAATGAGCAGAACGCACGAAGGCTTTAGGCATGATCATGCAACACAATATGAGAAATGTAAAATTTACAAAAATGCCCACCGGGGTAAATTAACAATATAAAGAGTATGTGAGGATGGAAGTGTAAAGGGGATCTATTTAAAATGAAATATTGAGATGGATTTGAAGGGACACAATTTTTTCAATTGAAAAGGTGAAGAGAAGCGCGGACTACCACATTCTCTACAACGACACCATATTATTTGAAGCGAAATAAGGAAGAACACGACAGAAGAGAAGAGAACTTGGAAAAGGAATGCAGACGACTCTTCGGGGCGTTCTTCTTCTATTTTTGTAGTGTTCTTTTTTGTCGATTTCAAAATTGAAGGCATGATGAACTTCTTTATTTGTTTTGTGTTTTCAATTCCTATGAATTTCGAGTACTTTCATTTATAGCGTATGTGTGAATTTATGTTTGAGATTGAATTTGTGAGAATTTGATTTTGTTTAATTTGGTGTTTATCGATATTGGGTATTTCTAATTCTTCTAATTTATAAGTTTAGAAATCTTAAATTGATTATTGGGCACGTATTTATTTGAGATTTCGTAGCTAAATTGGAGATTGGCACCCGTAATTGTGTAATTTTTCAATTGATGTAGCAAAGGGTGTGTTTGTTTGGGGGATTGGATTTCCAATCCACTATTCATCCAATTTTTTCCCAAAAAAATATCAAATTAAACACCTGTTTTTTATTTTTTATATTATACTAAAAATCAATTTTACATTTAAAACATCACATCAACACCTATGTATATCACATCATAGAATTATTCAAATTCAAAATTTTTACTATTCAAATCCTAACTCAAAATTTTTACTATCCCAACCCTTAGAGGAATACTCTAGTGTGTTTGTTTGAGGGATTGGATTTTGAGTTGGGATTTGAATAGTAAAAATTTTGAATTTGAATAGTTGTATGATGTGATATAAATAGGTGTTGATGTGATGTTTTAAATGTAAAATTGATTTTTAGTATAATATAAAAAATGAAAAATAGGTATTTGATTTGATATTTTTGGGGAAAAAAAAAGGATGAATAGTGGAAATCCAAACAAATCCCTCAAACAAACACACCCTAAGGAAGAATTAGAATCAATTTTAAACAAATCTGTGTAGGAATATTGTTAAATTAAATTGGTCTTTTTTAGTACTTAAAGTTATCGAGTCAATAAAATTAGAGCCGTCAAAATGGGTTGAGCCCGTCGGGTTGGCCCGCCCCGCGTTACTTTTAAGGAGGGTTGGGTTGTGATTTTTTAAGCCCGTTAAAATGCGGGCCTAAATGGGTCAACCCGCATGGGCCGCGGGTTGAGGGTGGATTAGCCCGCAGTGGGGCGGGTTAGACCGCAGGTCAAGTAAATATAATAATGAGTACTCACTCGTCTAACTAAATGTATTTTTTTACTATTTTTTATTGTTATATTAAAAAATTATAATAAAACTAATCAAATATTAATATAAGAATATATTTAAATTTTTTATAAATTATAAACATACCATTATAAATAAGTTAAGACGAATA